TGTGTGTGTGTGTGTGTGTTGTATTTCAGTTTCATGGGTAGCATTTCATGCTGTAAAGGCATTAAAAGTATATGGGCTCCACCTTCTTTAGCATGTTAGCTCCTTCCCGGGTCAACATATACATTTCTGAGCTTCAGAGCTGAGCCTAGCTTAAGTTTAATGAAGCGGATTAATACATGGCCTGAATATAACTATTTCAGCAGGGGGGAAAAACCTGTATATGGAGGATATAGAACTGCCCAAGCCATGTTGCTATTACATTCTTCTGTTGATTCCTCTTTACCTGCAGCCATCTACAGCATTGCAGAAATCAGCTGGACGGGAAACCAGATATGTAAGTGCCATTAAAACCTAGGCCTTTATTAGGTCTCTGCCTGGGCAACTATCTTCAGTAGCAGAGCTCAGGACTAGAACACATGACTAGAGGAAAAACCACTGGAGGTACACATTTTTTTCTCTCCTCATGGAAGAACTATGGGGCGTCTTCACAAACTAGCAAGCAGGAGTAAGATCTGGAAATGGCGTTTTTGAAGAAATATGAGTTTTGGAACCTCTCTCTTTTCTCTCTTTTCTGGAATGGTTCTGAGCCACGTGAATATCACACTGAAAATCACATTATAGATCATAATTGCAGTAACATTTACATCAGCCAAACTGAAGGGCAAGAACTCATCACCCAAAGACTGAAGACATTTGCATTTAATAAAGTATTAGGACATATTGATTTGTTCAATTTTAGGAGGCTTGCCATAAGAGCTCCCCTTGGAACAGCCTCTGTCTTGCTGATTTGGATTTTTAAAAATATTTAAGCTATTGTACAGAAGCATATTGGAAAGACTCCATGCTGTTTTCCCTTAAATCATAGTTAAGAGGCATTTGAGAACAGGACTGAGAAAGTTATCATCCATCTAGTAACTCGTAGAATAGCTTCACTCAAACAAGATGCAAAACAATGCATTGCTTTATCATCTGCATTCAAATTTGTGGATGAGGACAGGTGTGAACCCAAGTTCTCCAATAAGTCACATTGTATATGAGTCTAAACCTCTGCTTTCTTTCATTCTACAACTTCCTAGAGAACATGGCCACTGGTACCTCGAGTACCATCTCAAGATATAGGACAGTAGGATTGATTTCCATGGGCAGCAAATATTTTAAAATACCAGCACAGAAGCACAACTTGAATAACACCTGGAGGGCCACAGTCCCTCAGCTCACATGGTCTAGGGCAGTGGTTCCCAACTGTGAGTCCCCAGATGTTCTTGGGCTGCAGTTTACAGAAACCTTCACCACTAGCTGTGCTGGCCTGAATTTCTGGGAGTTACAGTCCAAGAACATATGGAGACCCAAGGTTGGGAACCACTTGTCTAGGGTATTGTGGGCAACTCTGGCAGGTCTAGATGACCTATAGTCTGTCCTTGGACCTAGTAGAACACACACCATGGAACACACTGGAATATGTGTAAATACATGTATGCACACGCACACATTCACACCTGGAGGTTCCTGGCAGTCTATTTCCACTTGGGGAAAAAAAATACTATTTTAGGATGCCCTTCTCTAGTATGTGGTGCTTTCTCTTTGTCAATGTTGTTGTTCCTAATATAACAATAGATTCTTCAGTTGACCTACTATTGTAAAATACTTTATTCCAGGCTAACCTCTATCTGTCAGGACCTGCAGCGACCGAGAGTCAAAAGGTACACTTTGTGTCTAATCTCCCATTTCCCTCCCCAGATGGTTATGTTGTTGATAATGTTGGAATATATAATTGTACAACCCAGCATGTATGTGTGTGTGTGTGTATATATATGTATGGGAAAGACTGGAGTATGCTATTTTCATCGTGGAGCATTCTGACCAATCAGATTCTGTCTGGTGTTAGCCAATGAATGTTAAAAGGGTTATCTGTGAGATAGATAAAATCAAGTGATGTGTTATTCAGTTAGATAGTCTAGTGATAGTCTGGAGGTTGTCTGTTAGAGATGTCTGTTAGATGTGGACTGCTTATCCATTACTATGTCCGATAAGGAAGATAATATATCAGTACAAGTGTATCAAGTACAAGTCGATGTATCAAGTGCAAATGTTTAAAGTGCTGTTTGTTTATTCTAGATGTTTTACAATAAACATTTGTAAAGTTTAGGCAAGGCCAAGCGAATATTATTTTGACTGCTGGCACACATAAGGGGAAAATAGAATTTATGATCTGTTTTTCATGCTACGCTTAAACCACTGTCTACAAACTCTTACGTACATTTCAATCGTGACTGAGAGTCAAAAGGTGCACTTCGTGTCTAATCTCTCATTTTTCTTCCCCCAGAGGATTATGATGTTGAGGATGCATGGACTTAAAAGATTTATGTATCAATTCCTTTAGCTTCAAGGTGTCCTTGATAAAAATGCAATGCAAAGAAAAAGTGAATTAAATAATGGAATTGGGGTATTAAATTCAGACTTATCAGGCAACACCCTCTTCCACAGTCACTTAGACTTAACATTTGGAGGCAAATCGTGTTATGAAGTCAGTCCAGACACCATCTGCTGGGGACTCAGCATGAAACAGTATCTACACTGACCCCTTAACTTGTGTTGTGTCAAATCCAAACTAGTAGTATGTTGCTGAAGCTATGAAAGAGGGTTTCAGCCATCAGAACTTAAAAGACATTCTGGGAGTGAAGAGGTTTGGAGATATAAATCTCTAGGAAAAGCTGCAACCCTTTGCTCAAGATGAAATGAAACCACTGGCTTACTGGCTAAACTCACATGCAGAAAATAGACCTGGTTAGCGCCAAAGTATAGATGTAAGCTGTGACCTGGCTGTTGTTCAAGTGAAGATGTGTTCTGCCTACATAGAAAAGCTACCCTCAAATGAGTAAATGAGAGAGGTACTGAAACGATTCATTAGGACTAATGTCATGCAGCAGACTATTAATGTGCTCTTAGTCAAAGTACTTTGTAATTAAGTCCATTAAATAAATCAGACCACTGGGTCTCTTGTTTTCTGGCTCGCAGCTGTGCCTTAGAATTATGTACTTTTATTAACTGCAAAGCAAAATGTAGCAAGGTGTTTGTGTCAACAAAGTGGAGAAGCATTGATTATGGGTCACTAACTAGTGCACTTACCACTCAGAAACTATACAGGCATTGTCCTCTTTTACAGCCCATGAGTGGAATCATATTAATTAATATCCTTCATGTCACTGTGTGACATTGTTAACTTCTATGGGTCTATTTGTTTACTTAGCTGTTGATGAACCTTGCAAATACAATTTCACAAAATGAGCCTCTTCTTATTCATCATTTAATAATAGTCAACATGAGCAATTATAACAACAGCATGCTACAATTTGTGCACCCAGGTCCTCAGCAACAGCACTAATACAGAAGCTGCTTGTAGAATCTGCAAAGTTCAAACATCCTTTTTGATTTTTTCAGACTCAGACAAAAATCCGACATATCTTCCTCAACTGGACTGGGTATTTTAATTTTTTTTATTTTGCTAAAATGAATTACACAACATAAACCTACTACCACACAGAGAAAAAACAAACAAAAAAATGCAATAAAATACAATTACATATCACACAGTGCTACCTTCACCTTCAGGACCAAAATTAAACTTCATTCAATCCATTTTCCCTCCAAAAATACATAGTTTCTTCCCTCAGTGTATACCCCTTCCCTCTCTAAAATACATATTCCAAAAACACATTCCATATTTTCTTAAAATCATTATTATTTGATTGGCCTCTTCTTATTTTCATATCACATCAGTTTATCATTGATTGCCATCTCCCATAATTCTCTATACCATTCCTCTAGGCTGAATTGATTATCATTTCTTGAAAATATTAATCTTGCAGCCATAATCATTATTACTATTGGATTGGGTATTTAAACCATACAAGATTCAGCTCCACATTGAATAATCAGTTCCGCACGCAGAGTCTTCAAAACCCTGAGAATGAATGAATGAATTAATTTGATTTATATACTGCCCCATTAGAGTGAAGCAGTATTCTGGACAGTTTACAATAATTGTTAAAACATACTGCACTGAAAAAAATAAAAACAAAAATTAAGACATTAATAAAATAAAAAAATAAATGTCACCAAAAGCTATTATCTTCATGATAAAATACAAATATCAGTTCAACTGCATATGCATGAATTTGCTATGTGGATTCAGCCCTCCAACACAAATATACATAGGAATTATACGTAGACCAAGTTGGCAAGGGCCTTAGCAGTTTAAGTGCCAACAGTAGCTCTGGCCTCTTCAGCTCTCCCACTCTTTCTGATTCAATCTCTTACTCACAACCTGCTCCTTCTTAGTCCCACCCATTTGGACTGAACCAATATTTCATAGGAGTTACAATCACAATAGAGGGTATGTAGTAACATAAGTTGTTACTCTACAATTCAGCTGTTGTTAAGGAAGCTGTATAGAAGGGTAGCAATTACTAGTGGAGATGAAATTCTGTACTCTCAAAATCTGTTTTATCTTTTTGAAACCTGTAGCACTTTTAGCTATGGCTATAAGCTTTGAGAACATAAAGGTATCTGGTGAACTTTTGCCTGGGAAAGTTTTTGTGCATCACTTTTTCACTATGGGGCATAATATGTTGGTTGAAAGCCACTGCATGTTGAGGAAATAAGTACAGTGGACCCTCGACTTACAGACGGCTTGACTTACAGACTTTTCGAGTTACAGACTTCTCTGGCCGCAAAATTTAGGTTCGACTTACAGCCAGAGAATCGACCTACGGACCAGAAAAAAACCAAAATGGAACAAAAATGGAACAAAAACGGCCGGTTACGAGATTAATCGGTTTTCAATGCATTGTAGGTCAATGGAGACTCGACCTACAGACTTTTCGACCTGCAGACACCATTCCAATATGGATTAATTCTGTAAATAGAGGGTCCACTGTAATCCATATGCAGAGACTCTTGTCTCTGGATAGAAGGGGGGAAAGGGGAATAATGAGGCAACAGCAGAGTAGAAGCAAATCTGGTCGGCAAGGCATATATCTGAATTTTCTAACCACTGGCTTAGAAGGGACGTGGTGGCGCTGCGGGTCAAACTGCAGAAGCCTCTGTGCTGCAAGGTCAGAAGACCCGCAGTCGTAAGATCGATTCCACGCGACGGAGTGAGCTCCCGTCTTTTGTCCTAGCTCCTGCCGACCTAGCAGTTCGAAAGCATGCAAATGCAAGTAGATAAATAGGTACCACCTTGGTGGGAAGGTAACGGCGTTCCGTGTCTAGTCACACTGGACACGTGACCACAGAAACTGTCTACAGACAAACGCTGGCTCTACGGCTTGGAGACGGGGATGAGCACCATGCCCTGGAGTTGGACATGACTGGACTAAATGTCAAGGGGAACCTTTACCTTTACCTATGAGGGCTGAATGAAGTATGAAAATGTGTGTATGTTATGTGCCATTACACCCAATTTACAGCAATCCCAAAAGGCTTTTACAAGGAATGTGAAAGGAGTGGTTTACCACTGTTACCCCTCACTGAGTTTTCATAGCTCAGTGGTGATTTGAACTCAGCTCTCCTGAGCCTTAGTCCTATGTTATGTGAACTCCACTACACTGGCTGTTGAAAAAGTTGGCTATGATATAGTGTAAGAAAAATCCTTCAATCAATGCGAACAAATGATGATTGTTATATTTCTTTACCTACAGAAATATAGCAACTTGTATCTCAGAGCTGAAGGTCCATGAAATTTGTTGCTCTAGAAATCTGCAGCAAATATAAGATTTCTCTTGTTCTCTTAAGTGGAAGAATAGTTTATTTCACAGGGCAGCCATAGATTTTTTTATGCATTGTATAAAAATGAATGTATGTCAAAACATTGTTTTATTTCTCCCAGAGTTGTTGTGCAAAACTCTTGGCTTGTGTTGCTTTTCTATTTTAAGATTTATTGCTAATATAAAAATGTTATGTGAAGATCTTCCAGTGAAATGTAGCACTAGTACAGCAATGAAAGAAAAGGAATTCAAAGTAATTTGCTATTCAGTTCAGAAGAATATTCTGCACATACAAAAAAAGAAGGAAACTTAAAGAAGGCCCTTAAACTCTTCTTTTGTACAGACATTCTGCTTTTATTGTCTCTGTGTTCTACAAACCTAGTTTTGGTACATTAAATAAAAATAAAAAGATGGTTGAATAGTTTGATGAGCTAGGTATCTGGCTGCAGAGCCAGAGGTTGGGAGTTCAATCCCCCACTATATACAGCTAGCCTGTGTGGCCTTGGGCAAGCTGCCCAGTCCCAGGGTACCCCCAAAAGAAGGGAATGGTAGACCACGTCTGAGTATTCTCTATGTCAAAAACTCTGAAAAGGGGCACTATAAATCAGATGGTGCACATACACATACACAAGACATCTTGACACCATTTAGTTAGCACAGTTAATGGCACTCTCAGCAGGTGAGGCTGATGCACTCTACCAAACCTGAGAAAAGCTACTCTCTCTCTCTCTTTTTTTCTTTTTCTTAGATTATGCTCTTTCATCATGACCACTGTTAGGTTGGGGTGCTGAGAGTTGTAGGCTAAAAAGGTAATCCTTTGCAACTCAGTCCTACAACACAGTTGCTGAATTTCTGTTGCTTAGGGTTGTAAGAATAGCCCCACTGAATCAGTAGTGATTTGGTGAGTCAACTCTTCTGTAATTTCCATGGATTCAAATCAACTTACCACACTAAAGTAAGATGCAATGAGAGTAGGCTGATTTGAATCAATGGAACTTACAAAGGAGTTGACCTTGGACTGGACTAGGAGGGATAGCCAATGAAAGTAATGAATGTTATCTCCATAGTGGCCACAATCCTGTTGCTTACAGACACTCGTGAAAGTGAAAAAGCATAAACCACAACGGTGAGTTGCCTCTAGTTAAGAAGTTGTTGCTTGTATGCCTCATTGTGTCCCAAGTCAACATGATGAGGAATACAGGCAGCTACTCTTTAACCAACAGCAATTCACCACTGTGATTTACGCCACTGCACTTAACAGTATATTGGCATACACAAGCAACAGGATTCTGGCTGCTGTGTTTAAGACTTCAGAATTAACATCTAAAAATAAATTCAGTTTTCCACAGTGTTTGATAAGATTTTAAAAAACAAACTCTCCTGCTCTTTCTTTAAAATTAGACAAAGCCTGGTGTCATCCGCCCGACATTGGTGAAAGCAAAGATAATGGTTAAAGAAGAAGAACCCATCCAACCAAATCCATTCAAAAAGTACTTAGAAGAAACCAGTGATCCTGAAACTGAAGAGGTGCTGCTTCTTTCCTCCCCTCTTTCTAACTGAGCATTGTTACTTGGGATTTCCTTGGCTTATTAGAACACAGTGTTAGGGGTGGGCATCGTGCGGCCCTTTGCATCTGGTAACAGGCCGTTTTTGCACACCCACCTTAAGACTCTGCAAAATGTTGTTTTTAAACTGCCAAAAAGTATCAGTGCAGCTTGCCAACTGCTTTCCTGGCTTTGCAGCAGCTATTTTTAGCTTACTTTAAATTACTTTAATTTCTATAATTATTAAATACTGGCTGAAATCCAGATGTTGAAACTATGTGGCTGTAAATGGCAATGGCGTCATCAGCCTGCAATGCTATTCTTTAAGTGAATAAAATTGAAAGCTTCCAGTGCCCTTCCCAGGTTCTGAGACTCCCTAGGTCTCCCCTCTTACCTGGGGAAATTTCTGGCACCTTGAGTGGGGGAGCCTTTAATGTTAGGAAAATCACTGCCAGTGATCCCACTGCTGGATCAGTACTACCAGTAGTGATCTGGTAACAGTTTTCTGACACTAAAGGCTTCCACCAACATCCTAAGGCTCCCAAAGGATTCTTAGGGAGCCTTGGACTTTGACATCGTAGGAGGGAGGAAGTTTAATTCAATGAAAGAGTAACATCACTGGATTAGGATATCCAGATTGTGCAAAGTAAATTTGTGGTAACAGGATTTCAGCCGGTGGCAAGAATCCTACTGGGGTCACTATAAGGTTTGCATAGGCGCTATAGCTCATTGTGGCCAATAAGGTTGGAACTATGTCTCCATTGTGTGACTTGGTCATGTGCCCAATGGCACAACCAACCTCATCGGTTAGCCTCAGCAAACTGCAGCAAGTTACACGAACCTTACACCAACACCAGACAGTCTCCAATGAATACAGAAGGAAGCCAGAAGGTAAACGCACCGACTGAAAACATCATCATACAATTTAGGGAATTAAGGAAGTGAGCCACTCTCATTTTATAATGTCATAAAACAGGAGAGCAAAATGTTTTTGAAATGGAAAATGTTTTTGAGAACACCACCCTGGATCGAGGCCCCAAACGCTTGCATATGCCATGACATCCAACACAAGTTACTTTACTTCCTGCTGTTATTAAATTGTGTGGCTTATCATTTATCATGACGACCACCTTGCACTTTGAAATGGACCATCAGATGGATTCATGGGTCACTCCCGGTGCTGGTGCTGCCCTAGGTATTTTCTTACCTGTCCAATTCATTTATAAACAACTGTATCTGTTCAAATAAAAACACTTGAGACAACATAGCAAAGATCCCTTCCTGAGATATATTTTTGAAAGGACTCCTTTGAAGTCATATTAAATTGTGTTTGTAATTATCCATTACAGAATCTGTATTAACCTCAACCAAAAACTCACTGGACAAATGCATTAACTCTTCTGAAATAACTGAAATAACAATGGCAATTTTTAATCTTGTGGCATTCGAACAAAGTGGGCTTTGTCTGAGAACATCTTTTGGCATCTGTTAATCAAACGTTCTGTCTGCTTCTGCTTCTTCCAGGATTCATCTCTTGTCCAGCCCTTTCCCCCTACTAAACCGAAACCCACTACAAAGTCCACACTACATCCACTGTCTGTCTCTCATGCTGACTCGCTAACTCCTGGACCATTCAACCACGTGGGTTCCACCTTTGGGGATATCCATGACTATTCTTACACTCCTTACCAGCGCAATGCTTTGTATAAGAAGGTGAGAAACAGGGGGATGGGCTTCAAAGAAAAAGTAACCATTTAAAGCCTTCAAGAAATACGTTTTAAGGCAGTTCATGTGAAAACAACCCCGTGCCCCATGCTGTCGGGAACCAGGCCAACAGCATGGGGGCACAACATAGCTGAGTGAGTGAGTGTTAGTTGGAAGAAGGAGAGAGGCAGAAGAAAGGGGGCATCAGGCTGAAGCATGGCATACCTAGTACTGTGAGCAGTGTGATTCACTGGACCCCCTAAAGGGCTGCTGGGCATTTGGCCAGAGAGCTCAATAGGCACTTATCTACCACTTTTGCGCTGGGCCAAGTCCCAGGACCTCAGCAGTGCGTAGCATAAGCCCTTTGAACAAGTCTGACCTTAAAAGGGCACTTTACTCTTACTCATTACTTTGCAAGTACAGGCACATGGGCTTTGTGATTCCTTAGAACTCACCAAAGCTCAGTTAGGTAGGACTTTTAAATGATAGCTAGTTCGTGGCCCTCTCCACTTCCTGGATTTAGCCAGATCCTGCTGTTCAAAAGACCAGTCCTTTTGTAGAATTGTTATAATTAATTTTTATTTGAAAAATAGGGTTTCAGTTTATAGTGCATAAGCATTAGCATCAAGAACATATTCAAAGATCATTGCAGTTAAATAAAATAACTATTTCCCATATAAAAAAATAAATGCTAAAGAGCTAATTAAGGTACGCTATAGTGGGCTATTGTGGGCTATCCCTGCCTCCTTCTTTCTCCTTACTTACATCCTCTCTCCTTCGTAGAGTCGAATCCATCATCAGAACAGAATAGAATCCATTGAACCACATTCCATTACTTCCCATTGGTTTATTTTTTATTTTATTTTTATTTATTTATTGTATTTATACCCCGCCTATCTAGTCATTTCGACCACTCTACCTTCACATAACCCATTGCCCAATTTTCTACATTCCCTAACTCCTCCCTTCTTCCTGACCTTTATAGCTGTTAACCAATTAACCTTTAGAGGTTGTACCACCTTCCTCCTCCCCTTATTCTCATGAGAGTCCAGGTGTTGTTTATCTCTTCCTCAACTAGCTTGGAATGTTGAATCTTCCACAGGCCTCTGAATTCAGCCTTCATCGCTATCTCGAACCAGGCTTTAACGGTCTTCAGGAAAACATTCTCATGGCATTTAGAAAAACACATTCCAATGTCTTTCAAATCATCTCCACACAGAACCTGTCTGACTCCATTTTACATTTCTCTGACTACATATCCCATCATCACGACAAGCAGAGTGTGCCATTCTTTTTTACGTAAATGGTATTTCAAGGAAGTACAGCAATAGTAGGTTGAAAATAATTTTAAAAATAAGGTTTTCTACGCACCCAGCTTCTAAGTGTGAGCAGTGTGTACTGACAATGTCCCCTGTCTGAGAGAACACACTCTTACAGGACACACTAGTTGGTGGCCAAAGCAGCTGTCCCACGACCACCATGGCCGGACCTCCTGAAACAGAATCTTTTTCGGCCCGTTCAGACAAGGGATCGATCCCGTTTGGCTTGCAGGATTCCTGCATGTATGAGCCACCATGGCTGGGCCTCCTGAAACAGAATCTTTTTCAGCCCGTTCAGACAAGGGATCAATCCCGTTTGGCTTGCAGGTTTCCTGCATGTATGCCTCTCCCTCTCCCATGTCTTTCCTGTGGGCTGGTGTCTGTGGAGGATAGGAGCCTGCCATTCTTGTCAAGACAGTGTCCCAGAAAGCTTGCCCTGTTGTTGCAGGAATGAGGGACTTGGCCTCTAGAATACGGCTACTAGCACTGCTGTTTGGGTGATATGTTCGAAGAGTAATTCTGGCAAGCCTTTTCTTGCACCCTTCCAAGCCCCTCCAGGGTAGCCCGGAACCTATTCTTGAGATGTGGGTCTGGCATTTGGTTTGGGATGTGGGATTTTTCTGAATTCACAGCACAGTTTTAGTTTGGTACAGCTTTGTGCGTGGATACTAACTGATTTCAAAGGTTATCTTTACCTTCACCTTTTCTATGAATTTTAGTTTTCACAGATACAAAGATTTTGAAAATTGAGAGAGAAATGGCATTTGAATTCTTAATTACAAGGAATAAATTGTTGGTCAGAATTCTATATATATTCACAAAATGTTTTCTTAATTGTGGCTGACTGATGTGATGCTAACAAACATCTTAGTTTTGTGCCTGGTCATATGCCTGATTCCACAACCAAGACATGTGCTGGCACTTCATTAATTAACTGCAATTACAGCTACTCAGCTATAATAGTCAGAAAAGGTGATGTTAAAAATCAGACTACTGTCCTGGATTCAATTTTATCTCCCCCAAACTGGAAGAAAATAGAGTCACAGAAACAAGAGAAGGGTACTGAGAAAATATGGGAAGTGCTAGAAATGGATATTTTTTCAGGTAGGCTGAATGTACGTCCAAGACAGAAGGAAATTGAAAGAGGGGATGTATTTAATAATTGGTCTCGATTTTCTGCTACAGTTGGAATAACTTAGATTTAAATTAAAACATGAATATAAGCTGAAATTTAGAGGATAACCAAACAGTAGATATAAAGAATATAAAGTTGTTTTTTGCATTGAAAAAGGAATAGATTAGATGCATGTATACCTAATATGAATAGATTGGATGATTGTATACTCTGTGTTCTCCTATCCTTAAAACCCTTTTCCCATCCCTTACACCTCCTTTTACCTTTTGTATCCCCTACCCTATCCCTAATAGTTTAAAAAATAAAACATTTAAATTAATTAACTGCAATTACCTGCAGCAAATTACACAACCTTCACACAAATACCAGTAATATACCACTCATCGTTACCTTATCTGTTTATCTGCCTCTCATATCAAGTGATGATGCAAATAGTCAACTAAATAGGAAAATTAAGGTACATATTTCATCATAACTCTGTTTCCAGCACTATCACCCTCCCACCCCCGCAAAGCCAGAACAGGAGCGTAATAAAGTAATTTAGGATACATGCTTGAAATATTTCTCCACACTGCCTTGTATGCCATCCTTGGAAGATGCAAGAAAGACAGAATACAAATGCTGTAAAGCAATATCATACAACTTCCTATAATTATTTTTTTCCTCCCAAAAGGCTTGTCTGGGGCAACATATTTTCCTCTCTTCTTTTCTTCTCTTCATTATAATGAAACCTTCACTATATCTAAAAGAACTGTGAAAAATTGCCCTCGCAATCTATACTCTATCACAGAGCAGCATTTTGTGATCCTTGAATGGTTCTTCCTCTTTCCCCTTCCCTCTGAATAGGAGGAAACAGATCTCTCTCTCTTAAGGACCCTGAGCAAATTAATGTTTGAAAGAGATACACATTAAAGTAATTAAACAAGATAGAAAATACCGGGAAAATAAAAGAGACCTGCAGTCTCGTTGCTATGGTTTTTGCTAGTTAACAGTTGGATGGCTATGATGTCAAGGCCGTACACCACTGTTGGGAGTGAAAAGAATTCCTGCTGCAGAAACATTCTTCAGAAAGCCTAGGTGGCTGCTGTGAGTGACAGCAGGTAATCTACCATGCCATTAAAAAGACTAAAAGCAAACAGTAACTAATTCTCCCATGCTAAAGGAACAAAACCCAATCTGTTGTGAGGTCTTCCTTCACAGAATGTACTCTGCCAGGCAGTTGATTAATGAAAAGTAGCAGTCTGAGAAATGGCAGTGAGAGAAGCCCCTTTCAGAGGTGTAAGGAGGAGAAAATGTATGTTTCCATCTCATCACTCTCAATCTACTGTCATCAGATGTCAGTTGGATCAGAGTTCCCACAAGCCTTAGGCAGCAGGGCTGAAATTCAGGCATTCTGGAAGTGGCAGTCCCAACAACCTATCTGACATGGCTGGTCCTGTCGTTAGGCAAAGGGATGCTGTTGCCCAAGCCAAGAGACCCATGGGAGTGAGAACTCCACTGTGGTCCTTCCTGTCCTGTCCAAAGATGACTTCTAGTACTCTGGAAAACAGCATCCTTTTAAAAGAGGAAGCTAAGCAATGAAGTCTTCAAGCTACTCCTTTCCCCTATGAGCCACATTTAGGTGTCAGTAGGTGGGGGCTTGTCAAGTGGAACTTCTAGAGTTGAAGTTCAAAAATTCTGAATGGCACATCCATAGTTCTGCCCTTGTGGGCAAGGCTCTTTCCTCCAACAGACTGATAACCCCATTAATCTAGACCAAGAAATTATCATGGGACAAATCATGTTATAAGTTATAAGTAAGGTAGCTAACTAACTATCACCTGCTTGTTCATTGTTGTTTAGTCGTTAAGTCGTGTCCGACTCTTCGTGACCCCAGGGACCAAAGCATACCCTCCTGTCTTCCGCTGCCTCCCGGAGTTTGGCTAAGTTCATGTTGGTAGCTTCAGTGACACTGTCCAACCATCTGGTCGTCTGTGGTCGCCTTCTCCTGCTGTCTGCTCACTTTCTCAACACTGTTCCAGGGAGTCTTCTCATGGGATGGCCAAAGCATTGGAGACTCAGCCTCAAGATCTGTCCTTCCAGTGAGCAGTCAGGGTTGATTTCCTTCAAAATGAATAGGTTTGTTCTCTTTGCAGTCCAAGGGTCTCTCAAGCGTCTCCTCCAGCACCACAATTCAAAAGCATCAATTCTTCGGCAGTCAGATTTCTTTATGGTCCAGCTCTCACTTCCATACATCACTACTGGAAAACCCATAGCTTTAACTATGTGGACCTTTGTCGGCAAGGTGATGTATCTGCTTTTAAAGATGCTACTTTAGGGGAACAAGGAAAGCAACTAGAAGTTACAATAATACATTTTAGATGTAATGAATAACACCTAAGTTACTTAGTTTTCATGAGCAACATCTAATTATTTAAATATTATTTTTAAAGGGCATTCTAATCAGATAGTTGGTGAGTCTGACGTCATGGGGGCAGCAAAGCTGTTCCAGGTTTTAGTTTGAACTTTAGATGAGATATCCAAGGTGCTGAACCTGTTTTGGAGTTCAGCCCTGTGGGTTGTTTCTGTAAAATTCAGACGGGAACCTAGAAGAGATTCACAGCTCTTACAAACTTGGAGTCACCTACTTCTTCGGATTTTGGGCATTTAGGAGGCATTGTTAACAAAACAAAAAAAAAACTTTCAGGGTTTACACAATTCTCTTTGAAGAATTGCCAAGGGAACTATTGTCTGGTTTTGCATTTAATATTTTTGTACTTCTAAGGCGCAATATCAGAATATCTTTCTCAGAAAGAAAGCTCCCAACTAGCACTGGGGTAGGAACAAGAAGCTTGGGTAGAGCTTGGCCTAGCTAAGGCTCAAAACCTTCTAATTTAGGTTTTTCTCCCAGGTGAATCACACTGAGGTGTTTGTAAGTTGCCTGCAAGGTAGACAAAACTCCTTGAATGGAGAATCACAGTATTTCTAGTCCAGAAAATCCCCCAAACCCCATCTCTGTTGACCAGAACTGCACACAATAGCTTAGGTCAGGTCTGGGCAAAGTAGAATTGTCTGGTGCCATTCCTTCTCTTGATTGGGAAACCATAGGTCTGTTCATACAGCTTAGAATTTCATTCCCTATTTTTTTTTTTTTTTTTGGTATCTCATCGCATTGTTGGTCCATGTTTAGCTTGTGGCCCATTAAGACCTCCTAGATATTTTTCACTCACACTAGAGCCAAGTTAAGGATCTCCCACTCTATATTTGTGCACCCAAATTTTCTTTGCATATACAGTATATCTTTTGAAATTTGCCAGTCTAATCCTCCTTTAAATTCCCATGTGCCAATCATTAAACAGAACTCTGCAGAGCTATCAGGATAGGCCCAGGCTTCAGCTGTCAGCAGCAGGGGCACAAGAGGATGGGTGAAAATTCAGTCCCTTCCCAAAGCATGTCTTTTGGTGCCTATGCTCCCTGTTTTATCCTTTAGTGAACAGAAATCATGGCTTGTGGGGAAGGGGGTTTGAAGTGAGAGGAAAAGTAGACTTCCCCTTCTCAAGCAGCATTGCGAATCACTGACGAAGATCCTGCAAACTGGGGTGGAGCGACCTTGTTTTGGTAGGGACATAACATTGTGTGTGTCCAAAGTACATGAGACTCTTTTGAGCACACACAGGACACACACACACATGATGGCATTTTGCTCATTAGGTAGCCAAAGGAGGTTTTTTTTGGAACTTAAGTTCTTGCATGAGGATCAGAAAGACATCAGTTTAGTTTACTACTTGCAAAGAAACAGATGTTCATTTCCATTGTACCAGCTTCTTATTCCCAACATGCTAAATATTTATCATGATGTGCTATTCTATGCTACTGCTTCCTTCTAATGGCCCTGACATTTGTGTTCTTTGCAGCACACTCATCCTATAGTACCTATTCCGGAAAATGAAGCCCTCAGCTCTAAAGAAATAATGGTACAACACTTTCTGTTTCTAAATGCATGTGAAATTATGAATGAACACTAATTTAGATTTATTCCTGTTGGGTCAATGTAAAAGGAAAACCAGGAGTGTAGTTAGAGACAATAACAGCCTCTTTATTTAATAAGCCTGCGAGCTAACATCCACATCCTGCATGCAACTAGGGGCATCATCTGTTGCCTACGACTTCGTCACTCTTTTCGGATGCTACCTGGTGGTTAATGGGGTGTTTGGGAAGTAGCACTGTGCCAGGAGGCACATTAGAATGTATGTTCTTTAGAATGTATGTTGACACACGCTGGAGCAGGAACAGGTTCATGTTTTAAAGTTAGGGGATGGAACTGCACACTACAACCAACACCCTTCTCAACCCCTCACCTCTTGGATAATATCTGAAGGTGCCTCATGCTTATTATGCAAATGTAAACCAGTGTGAAAGTTAATCCTGGAGCCGTTTGAAACTGCCATAACATCCTCCTGAATGTAAGTGTCCCAAAGCAATTATTTCCGAACGTGAGCCTCTTTCAGGAAGTTATGCTACCTCTGGTCAACTCACTTGGTTTAATCCAACTCTCTTCCTGTACCATCTACTTCCCATTGGTGGAAACAGAGCTTGGAATTTTTGTATTTTTAGAAGTAATTTATTACCCTCACAATCCCAAGCTCCCAAATTACTAGATTTTATCAAATACCAATAAAATGATTCTAAACATTACAGAAGGCCTGTGGGTTTCGAAAAATGCTAAAGTAGAAATGCTATATACCTTATTTTGCTATAAAAGTAACTAAAACTATAATAATCAGTAAAGCTGCAAATGATGTGAACTTCTCTCTCATGGCATTGTAGTCGTAATTCAGAGTGGGTCAAGTTTTCTCCAGAGGGATAGAATTTTTTTTCAGAAGAGCTATTCTTTTAACCAAATATCTGCAGCAGCTTTCTTCCACGAGAAGTACCACTTTGTGTACTCCACCGTACGGTCTTGACTGCGTTCATTGATTGAACACAGATTCAAATCCCACAACTGGGAAAAACACCATGAGTTGAAAACAAAATGTCAATGACTCCCAATTGCTCTGGCTTCTTTCATGAAAATGTTTGGAATGCAAGATAATACTGCAGCTTGGAGCCAGCTTTATGTGTGGGTGTGCTTGCTGTTATCTTATAAAAACATAACGAGAGGAGAAACTGGCTCCCAGCTAGCTAAATAAGTGGCTTTTGCAGCTTGGAGCTTAGTTTTATTATTTTTTCAAATCCTACATCAAGCATTTCACATTTAGACACCCCCTCCACACACAAGAAAGCCCCCTGGCTTGACTCAGAAGGATGTACTCTTGGCTCAAAGTCATAGGATATGCCCAGAAGGATCACCACCCACAATAGAATTGGAATCTGTAGGACTGGACGGAAAATTGGGCCCGTAGCATTCATCCTCATACCCTGACTGGGATCCTGCAGCCATCTTCAGTGCAGGAGAAGCCATCAGTGCTTGCCTGTTTGGGTTGGAAAAGGCCTGGAAAGGGATTCCCCATCACAGAAGCATTTGAAGCATTGTTTCAGTAGGCTAGGCCAGTGGTTCTTAACCTTTTTGAATGAGCCTGGACTTTCTTTGGCCTACTGCGCTACCACAGAGAGAGGACTGGGATACTTCCTGAAGATTAAAATATCAAATATGAGCACTCCTTCTTATGTACCTGAGATCTTGTTCAGGCTGCTTCTTGTTTTTCAGAATGGGTTTGTTAAGATGCCTCTTGAATTCTGATGAAACTTGTGTTCAGTTTATGGTGGATTAAGATGCGTTCCTCTCTCTAGGCTTTTCAGGCTTATGCTTAGGTTGTTGCTTGTGACACAAGACCCAGACACTTCACAAATGGAAGCTCAACGTATGGATTGCTATAATCAGAGAAGAAGTGAAAACGAAGAAAAGCTTCCTTTGAATTCCTTCACTAAAATCTTTAAAGGCTTTAATGAAGAATAGGCTGAAATCCTATTGCTAAGTGTACTGTAGTAATTTGCAACTAGGGTAGGTCTATTGAATAAGTGGGGATTTGGTGAGTCAACCCCTCCATAAGTTCCACTGATTCTTTGGGCCTATTCTGGCTGTGACTTCCTGTGCTAAGCAACAGGAATTCAGCCACTGAGTCTTCATGTATTTTTATATCCATCTTTCTCCTCTTACTCTAATCAAATTTTGATGTAGGTTTTTCAGGACAAGAACTTCTTGCTCGTCAAGCATTACACACATCAATCACACTGTTAATGACATGTTGTACACTTCAGAAACATTTTCCTCCTCCTCTTCCTCCTTAGGACAATCATTTGATAATTTTGGAGATACATCTGCTGTGGAGATCTTTGGGCTCGAAGCCACATATTTAATATTATTATTTTTATTTTAATAATTTATACCCCACCTTTTCACACCAAAGATCATTTGCAATATAAATGTAAATTACCAATTGTAAATACAAACCAACAATGAAAGAATAAAAAAGGCATTAAAACCTAGAGGCTAGTATCCTATTGTTACAGAGCAGACCAACTGAATCTATTGCAGAATGGTAAGTTGATGCTTATGTAAGTAGGTCCCATACATTCAATGGGTCTACTCTAATAGGAACTAATAATAGGATATTGGCCATAGAATAGGTCACAGTACTAATCAATATATTAAAATAGCACAGACTTCATTGCAGGCAAGTATTCCTTGATAGGCAAGCAGTTTATCATCTGAACAATACACCAGAGAAAATCTGTGTTCCTTCTTGTGCCCACTCCAGAGGCAGGTGGAAATGTAGCTCAGTTCTTTTATTGTGCCAGTCACAGAACCTAAAACAGCAGAGGTGCCCATGCACATTGGCAGTACTCCCCTTTTAGATTTTTGAGAAATCCTCATACACATTGTGCCTGTCCTTAGCCAACATCATCCAACCGTCTTTTAACAACAACAACAACAACAACAAACTTTTGTAATGTAAAATGAAAAGCAGACAAGAACCTAGTTTAATGTGATTTTAAATTAAGTATGAGATTTGCTTTGTTTTTAAATTAAGTTTCCAGTATGCTGAGGTAGGGTTAGGCAAAATTGCTCTCTAAAACCCTAGAGCAGCCATTCTCAAGCTTTCTTTGCCCATGGCCATAAAGACAATATGAAAGAAACATAGGTGTAATCAGGATTGTATAAGTTGCATAATGTATCTTAAAAGGTAGTGTGTGAAGACTTCTTTCCAGTGGTAGTCCCCTTCAAATATGCCATGCCCCCCTCCCTCCCCCTGGTTGAGAATAGTTGCCCTACAGGAATGGCCTTGATCAGTCTAACATTGAGACAGATGAACAGGTGTTGTGACTTGGGATAAGGCAGACTCTGCTCTCCCTCTACTCGTCCCTCCTCATATACATTTGAATAACAACAAAAGTAGCAGGAATTCAGGGGGAGTTGGACCCTGGAGTAGGAAGAAGAAATACACTTTTTATATCTTGATAACTGTGGCCAATATTTTATTGCTGGTCGCACCCGAGGTAGGCTCACTGGCAAGAATCCTGTTCCTCAGCATAATAAAATTCATAACTTTCATTCACTTCCTAACTGGCAAAAGAAAAATCCCTGCCATGATTCAAGTGCGCAAGCTGGTATGAAGATGCACCACCCTGAGAATTGTGGTGGGGACTCTTGATTTGCCAGTTATTTTATTTTATTCTAGTTTTATACCACTAGATTAGTGCAAGGTACTACTCTGGGCAGTGAACAAACAAAGTTAATACAAATCTTATAGTAATAAAGATAAAGGATGATCAAAACAATTCAATAAAAAGGATAAATTCATTCATTCATTCATTCATTCATTCAATTTGTATCCTGCTTCCTATTAATGTTACAGCATTACTCTGGACAGGTTACAACACATATAATAGAAAATTAGAATTAAAATACAAACATTAAAACCAGCAACCATAACCTTAAAAAAAACAGATGGTGCCGACTAAGCCCCAGAGTAGATGGAGGAATAGAGGGGAGGGAAGAAGAGGGGGGGAAGAAAAAAAAGGGGGGAAGGTGGTCAGCTGGGGTCAGTGAACCTTCCTGAAAAGCAGTGTCTTTAATTGCTCCCTAAATGTCAACAGGGAGGGGGCTAGGCAGAAAGTTATGAATGAAATGAAAGTTATGACTGTTCTTATGCCGAGCCACAGGAATTCTGTTATTGATTCAATTGAGGAATGGTAAGTCAACACTTATATGAGCCCACTGGGTCAGTGGGTCTACTGTACTTGGGAACAGTAACAGAATATGAGCCAATGCAGGTATAGAAGGTCAGAAAGTTACAGCTTTCACTTCATAAATAGAACACATGCTGAAAAATTAGTTGACCCACTGGCATCGTAGGATGATGATATCTGTAGTGGCAACACTGAATCAGGAACCAAGGAATTTGTAAGGAAGAGGAATGCTGTTTTGCTTTTTCTCATGTCAACTTATATTTTGATAAATCCTGATCCAGAACAAATGGAAACGTTTTCACCCATCTGTAGGACAATGAGCAAATAACAATGACCTGTTATTTTTTCTTCTTTCTCTTGAGTTTTAGTAAGTTCTGACCCAATAGGGCTAAGAAAAAAATCCTTACCCTGTTTCCCCAAAAATAAGACCTAACCTGAAAATAAGCCCTAATAGGATTTTTTAGGATGTTCATAATATAAGCCATACCCCCAAATAAGCCCCAGTTAAGTGAAACCCCACCCTCCACCATTGTGCAGCAACCAGAAGAAGATGACATGACTGTATTTGAATCAATGCAGATTGTTGTGCATGGAAAAAAAAACACCCCCTGAAAATAAGCCCTAATGCGTTTTTTGGAGCAAAAATTAATATACTAAGACCCTGTCTTATTTTTTGGGAAACAGGATATCTATGTCTAAGAAGCCGGATGCTGGTTGTGATGTCCCTCACACCTTCCCTGCCACCTCTTTGTACTCAAAGGACAGAGCAAGACAGGACCCCCCCCCCCCCCACGTCTGTGGCCATACAGCTGTTGCTAATGTTATTGCTTGCCAAACTCATTTAGAGCAAATTCTTTACTCCCATCCCCTAGGCATTTGCTAAAACCTAATTGCTTTCCCGCCTTGTTGCTCAAAAACAACTAAACAACTAGTCTCTTCGTTTTGTTATGACAAAAATTGTCTAAATGCCAATTTTACAGCTTTGTTCTGTCAGAGCGAAAGACAAGCCACGTTTGCCGCCCTACCAAGACAAGAAAGATCTAAGCAAAGGAAACTTTCCAGATCCTGTGAGCCCTCACAGCAGATCTCACTCTTTACTCAGAGAAGACCTTGGGAATGATTTCGCAAAGCTCAGCTAAGGTACAACAGTCCTCCTTGTGAATCAGCTTTTCTTTATGTATCAGTATAAAATAAGGGAACACAACTTATGGTCTCCAGACCATTCCAATGTTGGACTGCAGTTTCCAGCAGCTGCTCAGCATCACCAGGGTGGTATGGCATGATAGGAGCTGCAATCCTACAATATCTACAAGTTGCCCGATTGTAAGGCCGTCAGCAGTCCCAAATTGAGGCACCTTCCCACCATGAATACTGGGGTACCTCTAAGGCAGAAGGAACTACCTTCCTGACTCCCATACCACTGCAGAGCACCCTTGGAATGGCCAAAAATTGTGCTAAGGATGTCTTCTTCATTTGTATCAGAAGCAAGCCAATGGCGCTTCAATAGTGGAAGGATCAGCCAACCGAGGGCTGTTACAGTGGGGTCTCTACTAAAGAACGTCCCTACTTAGGAACAATCCAACTTAAGAACAGCTCCATTTGCTAAATTTTGCTTCTACTTGAGAACAGAAATCCAAGATAAGAACAGGAAAAAAAACCCTTTCCTGCTCTTTTTTTAACCTTAGGTCATCTTAGGTTAAAAAAAATTCTCCCCATAGTGGTAGAGTACGTATTAACCAGCTTTGGTTAATGTACGAACGCACCTCTACATAACAAAAAAACAGCCAGAACGGATTAATTGGTTTTCAGTCCATTCCTATGGGAAATTTTGCTTCAACTTAAGAACATTCAACTTGAGAACACCATTCCAAAACAGATTAAGTTCTTAAGTAGAGGTTCCACTGTAGTTTCTATGGACGGAAAAGAGCAGATACGGATTAAATGGTTTTCAATGCATTCCTATGGGAAATGCAGATTCAACATAAGAACTTTTCAACTTGAGAACCACCTTCCAATACGGATTAAGTTCTTAAGTAGAGACCCCACTGTACCGCCCAGGAGAGCCCCAAATGTGTTCACACTTCTCACATTCTTCAGGGAACACCCTGTCGATAAAAAAAAAAGTCATTTTCCACACAGTTTTTCACCCTAAGTGAACACCCTGTCGATAAAAAAAAAAGTCATCTAACTACTGGGAAATTTTTGCTGCTGTACAAAGAGCAAAAAGACAAATATTTCTCTTCATCATGAGCAGTATCAGCAAAAAAAAGTAGTGGGTTTGTGCTGAAAGCTTGTATTTGCACAAATACAACGCATTTTTTACAAACGTCTTTTGTACAAATTGCAAGGTTTTTTGCCCCAAAACACTTCCACAATTTTTTTTCACACAGACACACATTCCAGAATATGAAAAAAAAACCCACAAAAATGTCATAACTTTGTGGAATGGGTGGATTTTTCTGTTCTCACCTATGAGAACAAAATATGTGAAGACTTATCTCCCCAAACTTTGTGGCTTTGTCAGCTCACCAACGAAGAGTGACCTGAAGACCCAATGGAGATTAACTGGTTTGGTTGGTTCCTCAAAATGGTGCACCATTAAGCAGTAATTCCAAATCCTGGGTCCCCAGATATTCTTGGTCTACAACTCCCAGGAATTCTGACCAGCACAGTTAGTGACGAGGACTTCTGGAAGCTTTAGTCCCAAGAACATCTGGAACTATGTTTGAGAACCATGGTACTAAAGAGAATCCTCTGCCCTTCTTGCCTCTACCTCTTTGGTCACATCAGCAGTTTCCATTCCTTGCCTGCCTACTTTGGACTCTGATAAGCAGTTGGATTTGCTTCTGATCTCACTTGAGCCTGACGAATGTGCCATGTTTACGACCTGTCAATGGAGAGGGATGTTTGCTGCTAACAACAAGGTGTCTAAGTGTTGAGACTCCTGTGAGTGTTATCTGTTGAAAACATAAAAGCTTTAGGCAACAGAAAGGTCTAGAACGGCCTTGAAAATGTACATGTCAGATAATGTACTTTCCATTATCTCAGAAGAGAAGTGTTGTTGTGCTTTCAGAGGGAGCTGTGCATGCAAGCTGTGTATTGGGATTCTCACTTCCTAGCTTACTATTTATCACCAAAGGATCAGCCTCCATGCTCCGCAAGAGAATTATGTTTTAATTCTAACAACAAAAATAACCCCTAGGATCTTTAATTGTACTCAGAAACAAATTGCTAAATGGGGCAGTTATTATCCCATGGTCGTGGCATCCTCCCACTTGTGATTATCCTAAGATAAAAACAAACCTAATGTTCTCAAGCTGCATTATGAGTGTGAGTGGAGCCCCATTGACTTCCATGAGGCTTATGTTTGAGTTACTGCATGCCTAACTGTACACTGTGGCTGCTTGAATGGTGGGCATACTTGGGCATACATGCATGGCATGCTGCCTCCACCCCACTTCCTACCACACTTCAACTTCAGCTTGAAGTAGTGATTTTTCCTGCTTTTTTTTTACACAAACTCTAAAGATGATTTATACAAGCCCTTTGATGTTGTTGGCATAGTCAAATACTGGATGATTTGTTTGGCAAGTCCTAACTGCTGTAAATTTTAACTTCACTACAGGGAAATTTGCTGTATCGAATGTAGAAGGTTCTCTGTACAGCGTCCACATTAACATCTCTTCCTCTTTTCTTTTTCTAGAGACCATTTAGAGTTAGATGTTATCTGTAGAGAACACTTACAGTTGGGTGTAACACTGACATGGAATCCATGTGGAAGGAGACTGAAGTGCTGCAGCTTAATATGGCCTCCCTCCGTCCCTCTTTCTCTTAGTAACAGTAAAATACAGTACTGTACCAGTAGCCTGCAGCAGCTTATCATGAAGGTGGCAGCCCAAGTGCAACAATGTGGAAATGACTGTGGGAAAGATCTGGACAGTCTCCCAAAGCTATCAAGTTGATTTTTAATGTATGTTGTGAAGAAAATAGCGCCGATTATTTGGAAAGCTACTTACATTCTGCAATGAAATAAAGCTGGGCTGTATAAAAATGCACAGGGCACTTTTTGTGGATATTTTGTCTTGTAGTCAGGAGTGTTTGCCAGCCATTTTGTCCTAGTTAATGCTTTTTATCTAGTTATACCAGAGTCGTCATTACAGTTATTATACGAGAGTGTCTAGTTGCAAACATGACTGTTGAATGCAAACTCAAATACAAACCATTTTCTCTTCCAACAATGACTTTTTTTCTCTGGTGATATCAGGCAGACTGAAATGGAAGGCCTGCATTTTGCTGTTTTTAAATTAGTTTGACTCTTTTTCCCCCTAAACCTTCTGATTTAGGAATGTAAGGTATTGTGCTTCTGTATCTATGATTCAAAATGCCAGGGAAATGGCCCGATATCGATGCCAATCTTCACATAGCAAAGAGCAGCCTGAGTACTGTCAATACCAATGTCAGCAGCCAAGATGGCTACAAGAACCCTACTCTCTCCCCCCCACACACACTCCATCAGTTGACTGTTTCCTCACTCAAACACAAAGCAATTGTCAGGGTTCTTTTTCAAAAGGCCATCTAGTTATCTACTGCTTGGAGTCGCAGAGTAAGCAAAATCTCTGGAAGAAATGTGTCTTTCAGATTAATTGTATGTAACGCATATGTCTGGGCAGCTGGAAGGTATTGCATTGTTAATATCCAAGGAATTTACATGACTTGGGAATGCTTCTCCCCCATGCAACCCAATGCACAACATACCCAGCCATCTGTATTCAGAAACAAGTCTCACCCATGTGTTCCTTCAGGGACCAGTGTTCTTTTATGCTCAAGAACGGAACACAACCCATCCAGATTTTGAGAATGCTAAAGGAAAAGTATGGATACTTGTTGCAAAACTTCATTTTAAATCACTCACAGGAATATGCAGTGTGTGGATCTTTCTTTGTAATATGATACCTAACTGCGACTTACTTGAACCTTTGGGAGGGAAATGAAATGGCTTAAATTAGGGCATCTGACTGAGTGCCTTTCGCACTGAAAATTTTTTCTTATTTCAAGTTCAACACCCCCTGCACGTTTCTGCATTTGTTGATTTGATGCTCTACATCAAGATGAATGGAACAATAAATATTGTCAGTTGTTCTCTCCGCCTCTTTCTTAATATTGGAATTTATGAATTATCACACTGGCAGCATCCAGATTAAAAAACATAAGCAGCCTTAAAGATCAAGTTCAGCTGGTACCATGCTTCAGCAAAGAAAAGGCAGTTTCCTGATACAGATGGGAAGAAAGTGAAAAAAAACCCTCCATCCTCTGAATCTGCAAAATCCAAAATGGGAAGTCAAAGCCACCTCTACAGTGGACCCTCTACTTACAGAATTAACCCGTATTGGAATAGTGGCTGCAGGTCGAAAAGTCTGTAGGTTGAGTCTCCATTGACCTACAATGTATTGAAAACCAATTAATCCCATAACCGGCCATTTTTGTTCTATTTTTGTTCCATTTTGGTTTTTTTCTGGTCTGTAGGTTCATTCTCTGGCTGCAAGTCGAATCTAAATTTTGCAGCCAGAGAAGTCTGTAACTCGAAAAGTCTGTAAGTCGAGAGTCCGCTGTATTTCTACACATCTGCAATCAGTTCAATGGCCAGTTGGTTCATGAGTGTGACTGGTCATTTGGATGTATAAGCCCCTGTTAGTTGCCCACCCCAAAGCAGAGATTTCATTATCGCACTTGATGATCATCCGTATTTTCCAAGCAATAGAGATAGAGAACTTGTTGAAAAACAACCCTGACAATTGCTTTGTGTTTGGGTGAGAAGGGGTTAATTGGTGAAAAATGGAATCAGGTTCTGGGATTTCCCCTGCTTGGTGTCTCTTTGTGAATGGTAGTGAGCGCAAGAGGATATCCGGTGTTCCATTTTGACTTCTAACACCGGTGTTGTCAACATTCATGTTACCCTTTGTTGTGTAAAGTTTGGCATCCTTTTTCTAGCTGGCAGTACAGGCCTGATGTTGTGCAGCAATATCAGTCCGCTTCCTGGCATTCTGAATCGTGGTTACAAAAGCACTATATCCCAGATTCATAAACCAGAGATTTTTTAAAAAAATTTAATTTCCTGGCTTATAAAATGAAAGTTTAAGTATACATACACTAAACACAAATTCCAACAAAAACTTCCAGTGCTACAGGATTTCAAGCTGGCTGGATAGCTCAGTGAGTTAGGTATCTGGCTGCAGAGCCAGAGCTTGGGAGTTTGATTCCCCACTGAGCCTCCTGCGAGTAGAGCCAGCCTGTGTCACCTTGGGTAAGCTGCACAGCCCCCAAAAGAAGGGAAGGATAAACCACCTCTTAGTAACTCTCTACCTAGAAAACCTCGAAAAGGGTCACCATAAGTCAGAATTGACTTGATGGTGCCCATGTAAGTGAGCGTGCACACACACACACACAAGATATCAGAAGATGAGCCCGTGCAGGTGAGCGTGCACACACACACAAGATATCAGAAGATGAGCACATGATTAGTGTTATGGCTACTAGAAGGAGACAGAAGTGAGAACTGCATGGATGTGGCTATAGTCCCCCTGTACAAAAAAAATTTGAGGGGCTATTTATGACTTAATGAAATGGTGAAACAACGGTCTAAGTAGGTACAATACATACAATGGAGAAACATACACATTCTTTAACCTCTTAGATGAACTAATGTCGCCCAGCCCACTCTGCCAAATGCAGATTGGAAAGCTATGTTTCAACTTCCAATCCTTTTCTTTGAATTAGGCAAGCTGAAGGGAAAATATATATATACATTGGCCCAAAAGCTCTATAGATACGTTGTGTGCATATTTTCCAAAATATGTCCCTTTGCCTTTTGAAATTAAAAAAAAAAAGAGGAAGAAGTTGGAGTTTGCAAAGAATGTCACTGGTCAAAATCATACATACCATGTGAAAGAAAGACAGTAAAGACAGAGACAAAAATCAGCTCATTTGAAATGTGGTGTTACAGATGTCACAGATACCACCAAAAAGGCAAATAAGTGGATGCTCAATTAAGTCAAATCTGAACTCTCTTTCAAACAAAAATGACTAAATCGAGTCCATCCCATGTATTTCACATCCGGGATCTAATGGTTGTTGTGGGTTTTTGAGCTCTTTGGCCTTCAGAACACAGCCAAAGAGCCCGAAAAACCCCACAACAACCATGAGTCCATCCTAACTTGCATGTATAATGAAAATACAGAATTGACTAGAAAATACAGTATTACTGAGAAGAATGGTGGCAAGGGACAATAGGAAAAGAGGAAGAACTAACATGAGCAGGTTGGCTCAATAAAGGAATTCACAGCTGTTAGCTTGCAAGACCTGATCAGAACATAATGGAAAATACTGCTAGGAATGACAGGGGGCAGTAGGAAGAGAGGATTACCTAACATGAGATGCTGTTGGTTTGGCAGATCTGAGCAGAGCTCTTAATGACAGGACATTTGGGAGGTCATTAACTCATATAGTCACCAGGGATCAGAAGTGACTTGGTGGCACATAACTCTTTGGAGTGTTTTTTTTAATTATTATTACCAAGCATTTATATAGTGACAGGATGGGTGGAATGGAAGCTATGCCAAGAGACTGTAACAAGTTACAGGCATCTGAGCGCTCCTAACATCAGGTAAGACCATCCCGGCACACATGCTCAATCTAATAACCAAGTTGCTGTTAGTATAGTATTCAGGCATCAAACTGGGCAGTACAGTGTCCTCCTAATGCCTGCATCTGCTTTTTTAGTTAATAGTCTGTCTATTACTGGTTGAAAATGTAGGGAACATATCCTAGTGTTTTTGTCAATCATTTAAACTGTTCAGACTCAATTAAAATTAATGTAATATACTCCTAAAAGTCAGTAAAGTAATTTGATTTCATTTGAACTCCATCCAATTTTAATGGGCATTTAGCACGCTTATTATCTCATAATTCAAGGTCTCCTGTGATTTGAATTTTCTCCGGCTGATTCAAAAACCCTTCTTTACAACAGAAGATTTCAATATTATCTGTGTCTCTGAGAGAGAGAGAGAGAGAGAGAGAGAGAGAGAGAGAGAGATGTTCCATCTAAGGCCTCTACGCCTGTACAGTACACTGAAAAAATACACAATCAAGAAACTTATACATTTATCCCTCCAACAACTGTGGGTTAGGGGCGCCAGACCCCCATGTGGTTCAAAATCCTTGTGTCTTATGTTCCAAAAAGTGTAACTACAAAGCACAAACACTCCTCTTCCTGACCTGTTTCAGCCTCCCAGCATGTCCCAGCACGCTCATCGGCTACCACATGTAGCTGACATGACAGGAGAGGGCCTGGCTGGGCCATCACCATCATCACCAGGTGCCAACAAAAGGGCCCTTAGGTAACTAAGACTCACCTTTCTCAAGTCACTTCCTGGAGACGAACAGCATTACAGGATTGATTGATTGATTGATTGATTGATTGATTGATTGATTGATTGATTGATTGATTGATTGATTGATCGATCGACTGGGGAAAAAAGTGTATAACAAAACTGTTCTGCTCATATCCATGCAATTCAAGGAAGACGTGTACTTGGGTTAAGGCAGGTGTGAGGAACCTTCCTCATGCCAGGTATTATTGGAATCCAAATCACATCAACCTCAGACAGGATATCAGTGGGCAGAAATTATGGGAATGGTAGTCTAACACCACCCAGAAGGCCCTAGGTTACTCATCCCTGCACTAAAGCATAAGTGGGTGAGTGCTGGATGGCAGGAGGAGGGGAACCAGGTTTTCATTTTACTTGATACTGTCCAAATCTAAGGCATTTGCTCTTGGGGGGGGGGGAGAGTT